ACCAACTCCCAACCTCTCTTATTGTTTTATATTAGACAATAGTGTCATTGAAATTTGAGACTACATTAACATTATGAAAAAAGTGCATAGATATAAATTATTTTTCAAGATAAGCTAATGTACTCCGAGTGCTCATAGATCTTTGCTCGTAAGTTCATATTAGTTAATTTAAATAAAATTTTCACTTTTTTTAATTACATTGGCAAATGGATTATATTATATACAACTTTTTATCTATAATATGTATTTTTCTACATTTAAATACAATCATAATAATTCAATAAATCTTATATTCCATTGAAAATGAAATATTTTGTTCAAAGTGACGTTAATGTACAACATAAGCTTACATTGCTTTAACTATGTATTATTCGATGATATTTTAATCTCGCATTTGAGACATTAATAATTTCTCTTGTTCAATTTTGTTTCACAAATGTTGTTTATCAATTTCCTTTATCATTGATTTGTTAATGGTTACTTGATGAATTACTTCTATGGCAGTTTAACTACCAACGTGAAAGATTTGCCAGTATATCTGGCTCCGTCATGGAAAAGCTCGACATCAGTTCCTCCATTAGTCCTCGAGCTAGCAGTCAGGTACGACGTTGGCCCTATTTCAGGCAAAATTTACTGTTCATCTGCTTTTTACATGTTTTATTATACTGCCATCACTGATTTTAGGATACATTCACTTAACAATACTAAAATTATGAAAATGGGTATCAGATATAATATTATCCTTTTCTCAAACCAGAGCCATTTGGTTTACATTGAATGTTTATATCAAAATATCTGTTGCTTCAAGCAATCAAAGACAATTTCTATACGTGGCCCAAAAGTATATTATATTTCTTTCTATTTCTATTAATATAAGTTAAATTTAAGATGTGCCATAATATGAAAATAAAATTCATTTATTCCTTAACAGTATATTTGCAATTTTAAGATTGATTTATTCAATTGCAATAATCATAATTAAATCATTGTCAGTTTAGAGAAAATCATAATAATGATAATTAATGGTACCGAGATGATTTCATCAAATATTTGATACTTTAATTGTAAAACATTAGTACAAGCGCGCGAAAGTACACACCGACAAGTAGTTAAGTAAAATTGTCATTTATTTTTCATCAAATATTTTTAATCTCATAATATTATTATTCCACATCTTTAAACGATAAATAATAATAAGTGTTTTACGAAAGATTAATTCACAGCAATTATCTTGCGTGGAAGCTATATTTATAAAACATAAAGCGCATGGCCAATTGAAATAAATGTGCTTTGAAATTTGCGAAACGAGGTTTCACGTTTAAAAGGACTTGAAGATCTTCCTTCTCTTGATAAATTGAACGACCATATTTTGAAGATGAATGATTTAAAATGTAAAATTACACTCACTAGTAGCAGTAGTAAATCAAGAAATTTTACATGAAAATAAAGAAAATATCACTTTTACTTTTATTAAGTGAAACTTCGGTCGCGGAAAATTATTTATTAGTCCTACGATGATAATCTATAACATTTGAGAATAAATTTTACATGTGCATTGCACATTACAAATTTCACCGAAACTTCTTGCTCTGTACGTGTTGCTTTACGATTAATTATCTTGACATTGGCATTAATACAATTTCTTTTAAGTGAAATGCATCATCAAGCTAAATCAATGCAATTATAAGTTTATTAAAAAATCAACAAACAAATGAATAGGACTGATAATTTGCAAGCTTATGTAGCTTAAAGCTTAATATTAAGAGCTTCCTGCGACAAAATAATTAATTTCGATTAGAAAATGAAAGAAAAAAAAGATCAACAAACGAAGAAGAAAGAGTTATACTTTCGTTATCGCATTATCAGAAAACTCGCGCTCGATTAATATTTCATCGGTGGCCCTTGTTAATTATTATTAAATTCCCTTCGTATAAAACTTGGCTTTTAAAGGTGTGCATCTATCGATCGATGCTGCAACTCCTCACACTAAAGGCTGGATATACATACGAGTAGAGAGTATCGCAATAACTGCGGCTATAAAGACAAAGAGGAGACAGGAAAGCGACAAAAGTATAATGATAAAGCAAATAAGTAAAAGAATAACATGTCACGCGCCGCATTAAGAAAATAATAGGCAGCCCCGAGTGGGAGTTGTTATTAATTGTTCGCGCATTTTTCTGTTTGACTCGATAAGGGCGAGGATTCGGCATGCTCCACCGCGGACACCATATCCATTTGCAAGTCTTCGCTGCTGTTCTCCCCGGTGAAGGAGCTGCCGATGCTTCCTCCGGGCGGCAGCTACAGCGTCGACTCCCTCGATTGCGAGGACATGCTGATAACCTGCCAGACGAACAACAAGAATAACTACACGATCGCGTTCGAAGGCAGCATCGCTATGTACTCAGATGGCTCGCAAGACTTCGACAATCAAGGTAGAGATTACCGAGTCTTTTGGACTCTTGGCACTCCATTGGCCCGCTCCTCGGCGCACGCCTGACCGAGATTTTGAAAAAGTTATACTCTCTTATAAATAGTCACGCGTAAACCCAACGCTTCTTGCCCCAAAAACTCCATTGTACGATGTTTATTCATTGTTTAGAAATTTGAGTAAATCAGTTATGAGCTCGAGTACATTTATTTTATTAGTAGTTCAGTGTGCATTTGAAAAGAGCAAGCAACTAATTAGCGTTTAACATTTTTAAATGACATTAGATAGCTTTGGTCATTAATAATTTCTTTTACTTCATACATACTTGCAACGTACATTTTATCCTATATTTATATAATATTAAATTGTTATTATTACTATCACACGCACAAAACACAAAACACAAACACTGCACACGTACGCACAAACACAGACGCGCGCACGCACGCGCGCACACGCCCGTCTACTTACGCCATAAATTTTTATGTCTTTTTGTCATTTCAAATGCATAATTTTTATGGACCGAACTTTTTCGTTTATTTAATTTTTTAATATTTGCTAATATTAGTTTTCTATTTTTAATATTGGTATTCTGCTGGCATCTCGAGTTATATGCAATAATAAATGCTATATAGTTTTATTCAATGTACAGCGAGATTATTGATTATTTTATCTTTATGTATTTTATCTTTATTATATATTTATGCCAAATTTCTTCTTCATTTATTACTAACTCACCCTACATTCTCAAAGTATTGATATTGTTACAATCAATATTTATGTATTTAACTGTTGTATTTTTAAATTAGACGCATTTATTGAGGACTTTGAAAGCAAAAAATTTAAAGAAAAACGAACCCACAAAGATAATTGTACAAAGTCATTTTTACAATTTTTCTGTTCTTTTTTTCTTTTTTTTTTTTTTTTTTTTTTTTTTGCTTATATCCAGAAAAACAAAAGGTTTACGAAGTGCCAGATACGTATTACGACAAGGCTTTAAACTTCAAGAATTTATTGAGCTTGTCGATGGCCTGCTCCGATTCCAAAATCTACACGACCTGGAGCAATCTAAAACACTCGTCTATTAGTAAAACGATAACGCGGCACCCGTCTGGCAATAATAATACGACGCCAAATTTCCTTCAGACGAATCCTGTTATTAGCACCAGTGCCGCTCGATTTATCATCCCGGCGAAAACGAGGAGTCAAAGTTTACCGGATCTCAGTAGGGCAAATGAAGTTGAGCGCATCGAGATGCCCCTCAATTTTTCCGTGAGTCTCATTGCAAAATAAATTATGCCAAATATTAAAAAAAAAAAAAAAAAAAAAAAATAAATAAATAAATAAATAAATAATAATAATCGAAAAACGATTTTTATGCATTTATCGTGTAATCAAGCCCGACAGTTATAAAACTATTTATTGTACTTACAATTTTGTAAGGCTTATCTTGTGTAATCTTTCATAATGTAAGCTAATTTTGCAATGGCTTCGTTTAGTTATTAATTCTTTTATAAAAATAGCTGCAATATATCAAAGCTTAATTTACTGATTACATTAGACAAGCGTATAAATGTAATAATATGATAAAATAAAATTTAATTGTAATAGCGTGTAGATTTAATCGATAATGGTACGTGTAAGAATTCGTTACTCGTTGCCTATAATAATAATAATTCATCTCCATCGTCTTATTAAAGCAAATATGTGTGTGAGTGTGCGTGTACGTATGCTTGGACATATAAGAATAAAATTAGCCTACAGATTCATACGATAGATCCATACATTGATTTAAACTAGTTTCGCCGTGACAATGTAAATTGGTAGTTGATATCTGGAGCAATTGATAGCTCGTAGCTCGGCTAATGCTCGATGTCCACATTGGATAAATCTGGATAAACGATAATTAAATTAAAGAGCGGTCAGCTAACGAATGCCGTTGCAGGTCGACTCTGGCGAAACAAGCAGCCGCAGTGGTCGACTCCAGAGCTCGGGATCCTTCGCGAGCCGCTCAATGAACGAGGAGAGCTCGGACAGCGTAGGCAACACCTTGTCATCGAATAAGAAACTCCATAACATGAGCCTCGTGCGTCTGTTTATGAAACAGAAAAGCATGAGTACCGAGGGCATGAGTCTGGTCCTCGATCAGACGGATACGAGCACGGATACGGCCTGGCCGACGAGCAGCAACAGCGAGAGCGGCACCAACAACACCCAGATACATAGGCCTCAGCAGGCCCAGCAGGGAAGTATCAACGCTCCCAGCAACGATCTCGCTATCAAGTGGGTCAAGACCGACAATTACAATGGCGACATTCCCAAGAGGTCCTCTAACTGCTCGACCTCCATGGAGGATCTGCTGAATACGTCGAAATCCGCTTCTTCGGGCGCCAAGGACACCAGCTTCAGCCAGATTAAGCAGAAAGAGATCAGCACAAAGACTACCACGGGCACCCAGGTTGAACACTACATTTCTATTTAAAAAAAAAAAAAAAAAAAAAAAAAAAAAAAAAAAAAAAAAAAAAAAAAAAATCGAACACCTTTATACGTGAATCTACTCCTAGTTGAATGAAATTTTCGTCTATATACTGTTCGAGTCTATAAGTTCGAGTATTAAACTGTATATAGTAACGAAAGACTATATTCTATTTCTTTAGTTATGTGCTTTTTTTTTTGAGCGACGAGCACTTTTTTTGCCGATAGGTGATGACGGAAGTGGAGGACAATGGCGTGCAGACATCCATGATTTATCCATCGCTTAGTAACAGCAAGGAATTCAATAATTTGTCACCCCGTGAAACCGTTGACGAGAAGCAGGTGTTCGTGGTATACCCGAACTACACCCTACCTGACCTGTCCTTCCTCAACAGCTCGGAGACGCGCTACGACAACATCGCTCTTAAGCCTCAAATGTTCAATAAGCGGATAGGAAAGACCGGCAGACCCTTTTCCTGCAACGACGTCGACGCGCTCAAGCAGCGTGGCTTCTCACACGTCAAGGACTGGGAGTCCCTCACGTTCTTGCTACCCAATCAGTACCGCAAGATACTGCACGACGTGCCCGAGGCCTCGAGACACTTGCGCACCTTGGGCGAGGAGGCGAGGATGCCGCTCTTCTGTCTGACCCCGCCGATAAAACCCAGAAGGCGAACGCTCAGCGACATCATCCCCAATACCATTATAACGTCAAGCAGCAGCACCGCAACACAGCCTTCATCCGGCTACAGAGGCTCCTCCACCATATTATCCGACTCTTCCTCGAATCAGCAAAATTCTGGCAATGCTGCTCTGGTTAGTCGTTCGTTCCGAACCATCGCATGACATGGCTCTTGCATGATAAATTTTATTCCCAATTCTGCAGGATTGAATTTCATTTGAAAGACATATCGCTAATCTCTCCTTAACGCATAATTTCTATCAATTCTACGATAGAGAAGCCCCATAGTAGGTATGGCATTAGAGGTTGCGCGTATACCATTATGTATTTTCATTACCATAAATGCGTAAAATTTTGTAATTAAACAGCACGACGCAAAAGAGTTTAAATGTTTCTTTCAAACTAACGTAAAATCTCTATATTTCATCACTATTCGTTATGTTTTTACTTATTTCTTATACGTATTTTTATATACGTTTTTATTACCGTGGCGGAGAAAGCTTAATGTACGTGTATATGCAACAACTGCCGGAAAAGCTTGAACACCGAGATATTAATCATCGATCGTCACGGATGTAGGGTAACAATCCACTGTACCTGTACCGCTACGACAGCGTCTCGTCGGAGGCGTCACTGCTTGGCCAGGAGAAGATCCTGCCGAGTCGACATCCGGCCAGTCAGCAGCGCAACTTTACTGCACCGAGTCTCCCCAAGCGCTCTATCTCCTTGCCTCAAGCTGCGGAATTGGTGTCGGCACCTCCACGGCCACCTTTGCCGCGTAGCATTCTCCGGAAAAACCGAGCCGCGGCGGCGGCGGCTGCGGCAGCGGCAGCGGCAGCGGCAGCAACCGCTGCCACTACGGTCGGTAAGCGCTGCAGCATGTTCGAGATGGGTCAGATGAACGAGGTGGAAGTCGGCGGCAAGCATCATGGCTTTGGCCAGGAGAACAAGAGGATGTCGCTGCAGGAACCCTATTACATGAATAACGATTTATACATGTTCAGGCCTGCGGATGCCGTTGACTCTGAGAAGGATATCGACGAGATTGAAGAGAGACAGCGATTCGGTACGATCAATCTCTTTGCGATGACGTTATTTTCATATGTTTTTATAGTTAATTCATACTCTTATATTCTTCATCTTTGATACCGAACATTATTTGATATATCAGACCCATTTGTTTAAAATTAATATGGCTGAATTAGTTCAACCAATAATATAACGATTCTATTATAAATAAACAAAGATTAATTCATTTGATTTGTATGTAAATGTTCTTTTACAAACTTTAAAAACTTTAAGGAGTTAAAATTTCATAATTTTTTATATATATATAACTTTCTTTTAAAAGGTATTAAAAAGAAATTTATTTTATTAAAAAATACATTATTAATTTATATTTCATGTATAACGCGAACTTATTAATATTTTATAATGAAAATAATAAGTGTTTTGACAATAAAAATATTTTTTTTCTTTTTTTTCATTATTTCGTTCGTAATTAGAATTACACCTCCAATATATATATATATATATATATATTAAAAGAATACTGATCTTAGTTATATAGATTTTTAATTATATAAATTTTTCTTTTATGTGAAAAATTCCTATTTTGTATATCTTACTTAGAAATTCTAACTTGAATGCAATATTCTTTAATCATTACGCAAAGAAGAAACAATGAGGCATAATTTTTAACATTTCGTGTAAACATAAAATTCAGCCCCGCTTAAATTTGGAACATTTTTAATAAAATATCAGAGCTTCATCGGTCAGAATTTTTATTCAGAACTTGGTCTTTTCAAATTTACTAATAAAAACAACAACAACCTCGACAACAACAAAAAACGAACAAAAATAATGCATTTGTTTTTATATTACAGACAGGCTGAAAGGATCGGATAATATGGACTTGGAAAGCAGTGGTGAGGAAGTAAGACAATTGGAAGATTTTTTAAAGCGTAGTGGCATTTCATCCCATAGCAGTGACGGAGACACAGGCAGCGAATGCGATTCGGATATGAAATTACGATCGTGTGTAAGGAGGTTCCTGTCTCTCAAGATGAATCAGGATATGGCAAAAATTATCGACATAGCCGATTCACAAAAGAAAACCGTGAGCTTCGCTGTTACTAAGAAGCCGAGATACTCCGAGAATAAAGTACATACATTATTATTGATAAATAACCAACAGGCTTTTTTATATTCATGCTGATATTTATTAAAAGTGTATTAATGCTTTTGCTAGGCAAACGTAGGAGAGGAGAAAGAGCGCTTGAATGTGAGTGAATCTGCGGATATGAACGCTGAGGTGAAACTTCCCGATTTAGACGACAAAAAACGTAATTCAAATTGTTAAATAATTTACAATTACAGTATTTAATTACAGTAAAATTTAAAATTAATATATATATATATATATATATGTATATATAGTTTCATGTTTCGTGTCTTATTTAAAAGCGTTGACAAGAGCGTCATATTCGTTTATTACCAAACATTGCAAATCGTTTAAATTCATAATCTGTCCCGTTAAGAAATGATTTGGTCAGTGGAGGAGTCCGTGGAGGCTTTGCTGAAATTCTGGCATAGCGAGCCCGTGTGCAGCCGTCAGGGTTACAACGATGGCAACGAGTGCTCTCAGCTTTGTCTCAGTCAGCTATGCCCAGCACTATATGCCGTCATGTCCGACGGCTTGAAACCGCACCTCAATTCAACGTTCGGACCCATCGCCAATAGCGTTTGGCAAGTCGTTGAAGCTTCGTCTCAACAGGGCCCATTGACGAAGACGCTGAATGACCTTGTGCAGAAAATCAACGGAGAGGATTTCATCACCGAAGGCATGCTCAAGTTCCATGCTTTCGTCTTTGGTTTGCTCAAGTGAGTTTCTATCAGGCAGTTTCATTTTTCCATTACCGAAGCTACGTAAGCTTCGATAGTTTTCCACTCCGTGCCATTTCCCGTACAATAATAAAATCTTATTGCAATATTAAATTATTATATCCCATTGGTCGCGTATGCGCATAAAAAAATTCCTTATAAAATTGCTTGTAATAAGAGATTCGAATTAAATTCTGATTATTTTCTTCCTATTGTTCTTCCTAAAAAAATCAATAGTTTGCGAGCGCTCGACGCCTGGTTCGCCTACCTATGCACGCGCGAATCAATTTTACGCAAGCACTACAACAACAACAGCTTGTTCATCGGAGCATTGGGCAACTCGGACAGCCGTATGATCGTCAACACTTTCCTCAACACCCTCCATCCGCTGTCGCGCTGCCCCTTCCAATTGGATTTGCTCTACCAATACAGACAATTGCACAATAGCTTCGGTCAGGGCAGTGCTCTTAATTTGGAGGGGAAGAAGCCAACATCGACGAGGCCAAGGTCCTGCGTCATATACGACACAAGACAGCAGGAGAACGGCGAGAAAAAGGCCGTGGAAGAGATGAAGAAGAGATGGAGTCACATGCCTCTCGGCGCCAAGTTTCACGTTTTCGATAAACTTGAAGATTCGGAGGATTATACGGATAGTTTGGAGCATTCGCCACTTAACAGAGCTAGCCCGAAGAGAGTCGTACACACGAAACAGCAGTTGAAGTTACCGGAATCCAGAGGTGAGTCGTCCCTCGCTCACTCTCAAGTTCTTTCTTGCTAACGCTTAGTCAAGAGAGAGTGAAAACGGCCGCTAACGCGACATTCTCTTCCATAGATTCAAAGTTGCGAAGGGAAGTAGTGGAAACCGTTGCAGAGCCGACAGTCGTCGGCGACACAAAGTTCCGGAAACTCCAGGAGAAGTGGGAGCATCTTGGCCGCGACGACGGTGGTGGCGTTAAGGAGACCACTGGGCTTACGGTACCGCCGTCGCCGACCCGGACGACACCCACCGGCCTCGGCAAGTCGAAGATCCCGCGCCCGCTCACCTCGCCGGTGAAAACGTCGGCTGGCCTCGTGCCAAAGACGATCAAGTCACCCTCGGGCATCCCCTCCCTAAAAAAACTAGCCGCCGGAATTGGCGGGACGACGACCAAGGTGAGCCAGACGGCGAAGAAGTTCGCCGTGGAGCAGAGGAACGGTAAAGATTCACCGAGGCGAACCAGCCGGCTCGATCAGGAGAGCACGGGTATGCCGAGGACGCACCTCACGAGGCCGAGCTCCTTGCCGTACAAGACCCAGAGCACCGGGGCCAAGGAGAAGAGCGCCGTGTCGCCCCACAGAAGGGCAGCCTCGACCTCACTGCCGAGGCCACACTCAATCGCCGGACCTCCTAAAAGTCTGCCGCCCAAGCAGACGCCCAAGTACGTCTTTAATCCGTGGTTTTCTACTTGTATATTTTTCATATTATTTCACTCTTATCTTTGGTTTGGAATAAAGTCTCGAGTCGATAAACCGGCCGCCCATGATTAACAATTTTCACCAAACAATCTTAATATTTATTTATATAACATTACACGAGGAATTATAATTTTGATGAATGCTATAATAAAATAATTTGACATAACGCTGCACGAGGATAGATGATATCGTCGCGAGGCGCGTCGAGCAGCCCATCAAGAGCAACTCCTGACGTATCGTGAAAATATAATTTCGCATGTGCCCCGTTATTATTAAAATCGACAAACGAAGTAACGCAAAGTTGTATCGCTTGGTAACGCGCATTTTCGACTCGACAGGGTCGTACGTACGCTGACGAGCAAACCAAAATCCGAGGATGGACATCTGTCGTTCAGCGAGGGTGAAAAGCTGAAGGTAATCCTCGAGGTGGACAACAAGTGGCTGCTGTGCGCGAGAGGAGAGCGAAAGGGACTCGTGCCGCGCAATTGCGTGAGATCCATACAGACCTAACAACAGACGACGATCGTCTCCAGGACCAACGGTGGTAGGTAGATCGCTCGTCCTCGACGTGGCCAAAAGATGTACATATTGAAGTTAAAAGAGACGGCCAAGGAGAACAATGTATTTAAGCGGCATAATGTGCAAGTGAAAGAGGTCCAAACAAATAGAATGCTAATTATTATTATTATTATTATTATTATTATTATTATTATTATTATTATTATTATTATTATTACTATAACTATTATTATTATTATTATTACGAATGACGAGCGAGAGAGAGAGAGAGAGAGAGAGAGAGAGAGAGAGTGAGAGAGAGAGAAATTTGGCGAATCAATTGATTGACGTGTTAATTAGTGATGACGACGATGATGCTTCGTTTATATATTGATCAAAAAACACGGTTAAAAAGAAGATGAAAAAAAAAACAAATTAAAAAATCATACAAAAAATAAAAGAAAAAAAAAGCCGAGAGTCAGCAGTTTAATAATATACGATTTTGATGTTATTATTACTATAATATACGATTTTGAGGTTATTATTACTGATAAGAATATATATATATATATATATATATATATATATATATAATAAGATATTAGAGAGCTGGAGAAAAGGATGACGATGATGATAATGAAGAGTAAAATGAGTATAGTCGCTAGTCATTTCTAGGCTTTCGAACCAGAATGTATTTAATAATACGAGCATACAGCTATTTATAGCCATAATGTACATATATACAGCAAAAAATTATAGAAATTAATGATTATTGATCAATGAGGTGGGCAATGTCGAATAATAACTTATATAATATATTATATATTATGTATAAATGTAACTGTGATGATAGCTTGTAGACGAGTGAGTTTCTAGCGGATATATTGAGAGAATATGCTTTCCTTATCTCTCCCATTCGAACCACCTTATTGTTGCATACCGAGTATGTTTCGACTTTATAACAAAAAGTATTTTATCTTTAATTTTATGTAATTTTTTTGCTACGCCCCTTATTATCCGGCGCACAAGTAATTCAATGCGGTACCATTTTTGTTTTTTGTTTTTTTTTTTTTTTTTTTTTGTTTTGTTTTGGTATTTATTTCCAGGTAATTTTATTCCAATGATAAGAAATAACGTTAATATTATAATAATATGAAAACAACTGTAGCGCCAAAAGATAACACTCGAACGTTAGGCGCTTCGTGTTTTTTACTCGCTTGTGTATTCCTTGGCATGTGACATAAGAAGTAAAGAGTAATAAGCTAATAAAATTTATCTCAAGTATGAAAATGTGGTTTTGTTATTGTAACTTTTGCTTCCTTCTTCTTCGTTAATATTTAATGACAAATATGTAATGACAAATATGTTTTAAACAGCCAGTGAAATTATTGGAATTCTTGATTGACTGTGGCTCGTCGTGATCCAATTGGTAAAATTCAGTTCCAATAAAATAAAATTAAACGGAAATATAATAGATAAAATAACATTGAGCTTCAGTTTTAAAAAAAGTATTTAATGCAAAAAATATTACAGTATAATAATACATTAAATTGTGCTTACACGATATAAGATCTTTGCATACACAAAATCTTTATATTATTTAAATCGCTCGTTCAATACTAGCTTTAACATAGTTTTTCTCTCTCTTTTATCTGTTTTATTTATTTATTTTTTCTTTGTTTGTTTGTTTGTTAATCTCTACATTAAATACCCTGGAATAACAAAAGTCCATGGTAACGTTAAATTCGATATTTGAAATACGTTCTGTTACGTTTATTACGAGCTGTTACTCGTGCAATAAAAAACAAAATGTCGAATGTTTTTTTTTTTTGTTTGTTTGTTTTTTTTTGTTTTTTTTTTGTTTTTACTTTAATCATCCATCGTATGAGAATTTTGTAACTTGTTAAATTATCGGATAATTGCATAAAAGTTTGTTCTATTTAAAACTACAATATTTCGAAATTAATGAACGATACAATCCATTAAAAACATTAAAAATCACTCTCATTCTTGCAATGCCACTGCAAAATAACTCATGTAATTTTCTTTCTTCAATAGTACTCTATAAATCTACATGATAATAAAATAAAAGAATCGGTTTATCTACATATATATATTTACGTGTATACATATTCCGTAAAAAAAAAAAAAACGGTCATCTTTCTATATTCTTCTATTGCGAGAAACATTTAGTTTATCATGACTATTGTATTGGTTCTTCGCGTAACTGCCGATGAGTGCGGACGTGAATCAATATAATATTATTGGAATTAATATTACATTTTCAATATCATATTCAAATTTATCAGTGGCTGTAGAAATTAAACAATAATTTAATAAAAAAAAAAAAAAAAAAAAAAAAAAAAAAGATAAAAAAGTTTGCAAAGCTCTCATTCATCATAAAAAGAGCACTGACCTCTTTAAGTTTAAATTGTATTTAACAGCTGGAGAAATAACAATTCCGAGGTCTAATTTGAATTATTATATCAATTTTGAATATTACGAGTCGGAACTTTGCTGGCTGCAGTATGATCAAATGGCCAATCGTTTCTTAATAAAAAATCGTTACAATTTGCAAGTACTATATAAATACCAATAATTTTAAAATTGCACATTTGGCAGTAGTTTCAATAAAAAAAAAAAAAAAAACAAACAAAAAGGGAAAAACATAATGCAATATATTTACTAAACAGATGTTCACTGTAGGTCTAAGGACGAAAAAAAAAAAACAAATCTCTCGACTGGTTCATTTCTGGCTTAATCGCGATAGTCTTACGTCTCCAAAATTACATGTAGTTTAGTTTGTATTTTAAATTTTATTTACAGTCAACCTGCAATCGACTAGGTGCGGAGAAACATCCGATCATCAAAGTCTCTATGATTATACCATAATGGTAGGAATATACTAAATTTGTTTGTTAATTTTTTTATTACCATGTGTATATATATATATATATATATATATATATATATATATATATAGCCAATAATTTGTATTAATTTTTTTTTTTTTTCATAAAAAATAACTATGAAACAAATCACTTAATAGTAATTGCTTACTTTATCTAGATTAACAATATGTTTCGACGCGCCTCTACTTATCACGCGTTTTCATGTATACATATATGCATATACGTACACAAATGCACGAGCGCGCATGAATGTATATCATATGCGGATTAATCGGTCTCCATAAAGGAAATTTTTTTTATAATTCCCTTCGGTTTACAAATAAAAATGTCAGTTCGATGACTCACACGAGACATACAAATGATGAGTATGTACGCAATAAAATTAAACCCATAAACCAGATCTGAAACTGTTTGATTCGCTGGCGTCAATGGTCTTGTATATTTTATTGGTCAAATTATGTGCGGTAATCAATAATTTATTGCAATCAACTGGTAAAACCTGCAATACTGATCACTAATCATTCAATATCTTACGTTAATAAGAAAATGTTCAAGTACTATAATTAGACTTATGTATGTAGCATAAGTAACATTTATATATTTATTTATGAGTGAAAATATAGCTTTGTCTTTTGTAAATAAAATATCCACTTAGTATCCACGTTAATTACATGATCCATGTATTGAGTTAGACTAGAACGAAATTTTACATCATAGACTGAGTGTGCACCGCACAGAATTTTATTACATAGATATCAAATTAAAAACTTAAAAATAACAAATATATTGTAGTATTAATTTTCGTATAATGCGAATCTTTAGCTTTTACGTAATTTTTTCATTCGCAGCAATACTATCGAATAGTTTATTTAGCTGAACATTAATTCAATTCATGTTGCCTTGAATTTATTTCATGAGAAAGAAAATTTCTAACAATAATAAACAAAAATAATCAAAACTGACAGACTTATTAACTTATTATTTCTGTTAGTGATAGCATAAATACGCTTTCACTTATCTGTATCCTTAATGATATCTGTTTTGGAATTTCTATTTACATTTTAATGAATATTTCAATAAACAATCATATGGCAATATACCTTTTAGTTGTCTTTCACTCTCTACTTACCGAAATTCTCTTTTCCTTTATTTAACCCGTTGTATTTTCAAAGAATTCGCAATATTCTATTTGACTTGGTTCAGTATCGCAACTTTTAATGATTATTTTCTACTGTGAAATGACATTTCCCTCAACAACCTCCACTTAAATTGAATAATACAAATTATATTGTAACAATTATTTGTGCTCATCAATCGGTAAAACAAATAATTATTTTTTCTTTTATATATATATATATATATATATACATAAATAATTGTCGAAAGGAATATATTCCAATAGGTAGCGAATTTTATTGATCTTAGCCGTATATAAAAAAATTGAATAATATGATGAAATGTACGAACATGCTTTCTCTGGATACTAAGTTTATTTTTCCGTTTATAAGACAAGATTCAATGTTGTTTTGTATTATTTACTTTATTATTTGAACACAGACGTTTATTTTATTACTTCGTCTTTTATTTATTTAATTATTTATTTTTGTTATTGTTGTTGTTGTTGTTGTTGTTGTTGTTGTAAATGTAATAATTATATTTAAATATATTTGTCATTAAAAAAGTATTGAAGGTTCTACTATGTATTGTACAATGAACCAACAATGAATAAATGAAGTCTAGTATGAACACAAACTGTATAAAGATGTATTTTTAGTATTCAATTAGTACAAATGAAATTTCGTTATAAAAGCGTGCGTAGACATTGTTTTTGTAAACAATAAAGCGATGACAAAATTGTTTACTGAAATTATTATTTAATGTTATTTACAATTTATTAAAATCATTAGTAATAATACCCTTTATAACCGAATTTATCGTTTTTATATTTACAAAATTCAATCAAAATTTGCTTCTTTATTTAATTCACTTTCAATAATTTTTGTTCCGAGTTTAAACCTAACTGAGCCCGATCAATCTCTGGCTAACATCGATAAACTATTGATAAATAGTGATTAATAGCCAGATCCTAGAAGATGAATATTTAAAATCATTTCGGACAGTCATCGCTTTTTTTATTCTTTTTTTTTTTGTTTTTTTTTTTGTTTTTTTTTTTTTTGTTTTGTTCTATTAAAACAAAAATGTTTAGATTGAAAGGTGTTTTAAAAACAAGGTTTATTTGATGATAATTTCAATGAAAAAATCATTTAAACATCGCTATTGTGAATTGTATGTATTAAATTCTTATAAAATAAA